CAGGCGGGTCTCGAACCCGCGGGCTCAGGGAATCCACTCACCTCAGCCTCCCAAAGGCGCGGGATTACAGGCTGAGCCACCGAGCCCGGCTTCAAGTGAACTCTTAAACAGAAAACTACTAAATAAAATAAAGATGTCACTGCCTGAGTTTAGCCAAGGGAACATAAATTATGGTAAGAAGTGCTGGAGGCTATCTTCACTCTCTCCTCTCCCTGTTATCCTCCAAAGTATCTCCTAGAACACCACTGTGTGCAAGAGGCCTTGGAGTCATACATGTGGGGTAAAAGAATCCTGGTTTTACCACTTATTAGTTGTCTGAGCCTCACCTTCAACTATCAGATGAAGCCAGTATCACCTACTTTTCAAGGACTGGAAATAATGTGTATGAGAAAATCTAGAGGAATGCCCAGCATACAAAAACATGACCACTATAGTAGAGTTTTGCATACATTACTCTGTAAGATACAAGCATGGATGAAGCATTAAAATTAAATTGTTTTTAAAGCAATTAAGTTTAACAACTTTAGCCTGAAATTTGGATGTCTGTAACAGCCTCCTACATATTATGACTTAACTCATTCTCTCTGCTTTTTATTTTCCTTAGGTCCCTTCAAGTAATCTTTTTCAAATACCAATTTGGCCAAGTGACTTATCTCCTTTTGTGGCACACAAAGCCCTAGATAACCTGCCCTCAGTCTATCTATTCCTCCTGCTTCTTCTCTAGCACTCTACGTTTTAACCAGATTCAATTATTAACTCATCCTTGAATAGAATGTATACTTTTTAAAAAATATTTTATTTTTCCAGAAACAATAAATGTGGTTGTGAAAAATTAGAAATTTAAAAAATGTAGATTAAAAGAAAACACAGAAAAAGAAATTACATTCTTATCCAGTTATCACTGCTATTAACAGAGCATATCCTTCTGGAGGGATATATAAATGTAGATAGATATAGAAATATAAATGATCACAATGTACATGCTACTTTATAACCTGCTTTATTCAGTCAAGAATCTCCACCTTTTTGTTTCTGTAAAGTTCCATCTCAGCTATTAAATAGGCCATATTCAAATTTCCCCAACTACCCCAAAATGTTCTTTATTGCTGGTTTGTCCAAATCAACATCCAATTTAAAGTTTCACACTGGATATAGTTGTCCTTTACATTTCTTTCAATGCAGCACTGTCGCCTTCTCCCACAATCTTTTTAGAACAGTAATAAGCTAAAGAGATCTCATTACTTTTCCTACTGAATGTCCAGCCTTGTGAATTTATCTGGCTCCTTCCTTTCTTATTCTTTTATCATCTGTTTTACCAGATACAAAGAAAGATAAGTGTATGACCCCTTAAGGTTAAAAATGTGGGAATTAATTGAAGTCTACATTTTAATTGAAGTTTGAATAAGGAATGAACAGATTATGGCACAAGGAAGTTTCTATATGGTAGCTCTAGAGAAGCTCTGGACAGAATAGAACAGGTTGACTGAGGTGAGGAGGGGGTCAGAAATACTGTGTTTTCATTAATTCTTTGGATAGTACGCATATTTTTTCAAAACTATGTTTATATATCACATTGATATTTTTTCAATTAAGTAAAAAGAAAAAAAAGTAAAAGGGCAATTATATTAAATCATGTACTCATTCAGCTTTTAACTTCTGTTAGAATTTGGGAAAGTTTAAAGATGCCCCAGCTGGACACCATGGCTCATGTCCGTAATTCTACCACTTAAGGAGGTCAAAGCAGGAGGATCCCTTGAGGCTAGGAGTTCAAGACCAGCCTGGGCAACATAGTGAGATACCAACTCTACAAAATAATAACAAAAATCAGACAGGTGTGATGGTATGTGCCTGTAATCCCAGGTACTCAAGAGGTTGAGGTAGGAGTGTCCCTTGAGCCCAGGAGTCAGAGAGTTCAAGGCTGCATTGAACTATGATTGTGTCGCTGTACTCTAGATGACAGAGTGAGACTTGTCTCAAAAAAAAAAGAGGCCCTGAAAAGACTGCAATTTTCTTTTTCATAATTTTGTTTTCACTGCATAACAAAACGTCAATTTGATCAGTGTGTACTACGATTTCAGAGGTCATAATGACAGAAAGGAACCATTAAGAGATTTACAACTTTACACAAAGTACCTCAAAAAATATGCTTTTATTTTTATGGTTCTAACCATTGTTTACCAATTCATCTACTCCTGCCTGAATTATGTTCCTTCTTTCATTATTACAGGTGGTCAAGTATTATTAGCTGATATTTAATCATGCTTCATGATTCAGGGCAATATACTCAAGAGACAAAAGAGGATCCATGGTATAGCTAGTATAATGGCTGGCTCACAGTAGATATTTAATATATTTTAGCCATTTCCCATCATTTCCTATATCCTCTTTCCTATGACGTTGAAGCTCTTGATCAGAAAACCTTCTTCCCAGATCCGACAGGAACAAAACACTATACATCAAAGCCTATTTCCTAGTTATGGAGTTATGGTTAAACTAAGTTGTAAGCTCTATGTCTGAATATTTCAATTATGGAATCTCTTTTTGTCTCAAAAAAAAGTCTAACAATTCAAAAGGATTCTCCACTCTAATGCTTGCTCCCAGTCTTAGCACAGAAAAGTTTCTTTTCAAAAAGTAGTCAAATATCCATAAGAATGGAGAAGAGTAGTCCAGAAAATCTATAACTGAGCAATATAGAACAACTTACATAACTTTAACAGAATTTTCATACTAATCATAATTTCTAACACAAGAGCTGGATTCCACTTCAGTTAGCCTTTCCTGAGGATATACCACCAATTTGGTTTTGATGGCTACCAGGAATTCTCAGACTTGGTCCCTTTTCATGGAGGCTAAAACATAAAACCATGAAGAAGGTGACCCAGAAAGGACATTGAGGAACAGAGAGAAGTCAGGTTGTTCTTTCTCAATAATAGTTTTAAGCTAAACATGACTATTGTATAAAATACAATTATAAATTTTAAACCAAACAAAAGGGATCTATAATTTAAAATTAGTACTTTTTCCTTCATTTTCTGCTGTGTATCTGACCTTGTCTATAAGTGCTAAATGTAAATACTGTTAAATCAGAAACTATATTCTTTCAACAACTTTACAATGTAGATACTATGAAAATAAGGAAACAGAAGCAGAGATTGGCTTACCAAATGCCACACAGCTCATAAATGCCAGGGACTGTGAATTGAGACCATTATGCAAAATCCTATGTTTTGTTTTGTTTTTTTCACAAAAGTTTCTATTTTATATTATTTACAAGCATTGCTTCAATAGGAATCTAAACAGATATTAGAAACCCAAGTAATTTTTTTTTTACAGTAAATCCAACTCATTTTCAATTTCAAAACATCAGAGCTGGAAACATTCATTATGTACTCACCTGATGCAGGAGACGTTTCAGTTTGAGTAACTGAGTTTTTACAGCAGTGCAATCTTGAACCATGTGACGGAGGGTCATCTCATCCAGTATCACTGTATTTTCTGGTATATCTACAAATATCTTCTGAGCCTGGAAAAAGGGAGTCCCTCCATAGCTTTCAAAATGACCCAAAGGAGATTCTCTATAGGGAGAGGCTCTGGATGGGCAGGTGAAGAAGGTGGAGAAAAAAGATATATACAATTTCAGAAAGAGATGAAGGTAATAAAATTATTGCAGTTATTATTACAAACCATTTATCATTACCACAAAGTCTCTGAGTTTTACTCACCTCAGTCACTGGGTATATTTCCACAAAAGGCAAAATCAGCTCAAAATCAGTTGTCATAAAAACAATTATCTTCTGTACCTTTCCCACCCTTTGTGTATTTTGCACACACTGAATGAATAAACCTTCTTTCTTAGGAACCAGAATAGAAATAAAATATTCTGGGAAGACTTTGTCTGGAAAAATTATACTTATTTTCCCTTTTCTGCACTGATTGTCTGCTCTTTAGTTTTTCACTTTGCTTGACCTCTTAAACTACATACCTTTTTCAGTCCATCACTGTGCTACCCATATTCATTTCCAGTTTGTACATATCCTTAAACTCCCATTTCCTAAACTGCCAACAGATCGTTAAGACAGATGAATTATTATTTCTTCTTTTTTGTTTTTACATTATTGATAAATCATGTTTTCCAATAAAGATTAAATAAGCTTTTATAAAAGTCTTACATACACCACATAGATTCTAATCTTATATTGCATTAAAAAATCTACTCTAAAAAAATTTATACTTCCCTTCAGTCTCATACAATAACATACATGCTAAATAAGAGGAAAAAAAACTAGGGTTAATGTGCTTCATGAGAGTTAAAAAAATGTTTTAAGCAAAAGTCATAGCTACAACAATTTTAAAACTACTGTATTCACATTACACACAATTCCAGTTGGTTCTTAAATTAAAACAAGAACTTACATACAAGAACTTACATATGTGAAATCTCAATAATTAAATAACATACTGAAAAGTATTCTCTCCAATATAATGGCTATTTTAACATACCAGAATTAAAGTTAAATTAATAATGCACTAAACTTGCAGAAATCATGATGCATTAAACTTCAACCATAATGAAAATGTAGAATTACAATCTGGAAGCAATCACATTAAAAATAGTCCCAGTTAGGCTGGGCACGGTGGTTCACGCCTATATTCCCAGCACTTTGGAAGGCCGAGGTGAGAGGATTCCTGAGCTCACAGGTTGGAGAACAGTCTGGGCAACTTGGTGAGACCTCATCTCTATAATAAATAAAAAAATTAGCCGAGTGTGGTGGCGCATGCCTGTAGCTCCAGCTACTTGGAAGGCTGAGGCAGAAGGATCAGCTGAGCCCAGCAGGTCGAGGTTGCAGTGGCCGGGAGCGGCCACTGCACTCCAGTCTGGGCGACAGTGTGAGACTCCAACTCAAAAAATAAAATAAAATAAAAAAATAAAAAAACTTCAGTCACTTTCAAAGTACTCTCCATTTGATTCAACACACCTATCAAGACACTTTTTCCACTGCCCAAAACAGTTTTCGAACTCATCAATTTGAATGCTAATTTTTTTTAGTGCTTCTGCTGTTCTGTTTCATCTCTTCCACATGAGCAAAACGTTTTCCTTTGAGGACTTTTTTTATTCAGGCAAACAAAAAACAGTCGCTGGGGGCAGGGAAGGTGGGGCACAGGAGTCATGCTGTTTTTGGTTAAAAACTGCTGAACACAGCTTGGTGTGGGAATGTAGGTTTTCATGGTAGAAGAAGCAGTCACTGTTTGCCACAACTCAGGACGTTTTTTCCACAAATTGTTATGATACTTTCTCAAAACTTCGAGATAAAAACTTTGGTTGATTATTTGATCCAGAGTAACAAATTCCAAGTGTACTACAAGGGGCCCAACCTCCAAAAGATAATTCCAATTTTGGAGGGGTCCTGGGCCCTTGTATATTTGGTTAATATAAATATGAACCAAATGTATGGAACTAATGAATTTAAAATGCTTGAAGGGAAGAGACAACAAGGCCTGATCACAAACCGAATATGGGAACAAAGAAGTGACATCTAGAAAAACCGCAATCAACTAAAAAGCCAGCTATGGCTTTGGATTTAGGTTTAAATCCTGTCTGAACTAGCAATTGAAAATATTTAATATTTTTGGACCATAGTTCTTTAACTCTCAATGTTCTCTACCTATTGAACAAAGTTCATGGTTGTATTTCTAATATCTTCATCATGAGATTCAAAACTCTAAACCTGTATTTTCTCCTAGTATTGAAATGCTACTTTCTTCAGAAGCTCTTCCTGATCCTCTCACTAGATAAAACTACCATTTCATGATCCTTACTTTATTTTACACCACAAATTAAAGAAATCTATATACCTATCAACTCTAACTGAATTGTAAATCCTTTGAAAACAGACCAGGCAGAGCACGGTGGCTCAAGTCTGTAATCCCAGCACTTTGGGAGGTCGAGGCAAGAGGATTGCCTGAACTGAGGGGTTCAAGATCAGCCTGGGCAACTTGGTAAGACCTCATCTCTAAGGATAAATAAATAAGTCAGGCATGGTAGCATGCACCTGTAGTTCCAGCTACTTGAAAGGCTGAGGCTGAAGGATCACCTGAGCCTAGCAGGTCGAGGCTGCGGTGGCCATGAACATGCCACTGCACTCCAGCCTGGATGACAGAGTGAGACTCCTACTCAAAAAAAAAAAAAAGAAAAGAAAAGAAAACAGAGCCATATCTTATTCATGTTTACATTAACTGCACAGATCATGTAAGTTCAAATTCAGCTATCATGTACTAGCTATATAACACATAGGGCAAGTTACTTAATCCCTCTATGATTCAATTCCTCATCTATAAGGTGGGAATAATAACAGCATTTATATCCTTAGGTTAAGTAGGATTAAATGAGGAAATACATTAAAGTGCATAGAATAGTACATGATATATAGTAAATGCCAAATAAAAAACAAATAACTATTATATCATTAATAATTTCCAACTTCTTTATATTGAAATTTTTTAAAAACTGAAATGTCAGAATACTAAAATTAAACAACCAACCATATACCGTTTACCTATATGTACTGACGGTTAAAATATTGACACATTTGCTCTGTATCTATGTTTATTTACTGCTAAATCATCTGACAATAAGTTAAAAATAACATAAAATCTCATTAAAGGAACATTTGAAGTTTGATGGGAAAAAAAGAATATAACTGAGAAGGTTAAAAGGCAGAAAGAGACAAAGATGGAACAAACAGAAAGCAAATGTGTAACAGAGGTTATTTTCAGAAAATAAAAGGAGACTATGAAGATAGATGTGAGGGGGAACATATGACAGAAAGATAGTGGTGATTTTGAGATTTCAGATTTTGAGATAATACAGTTTACATAAGAGAAAATGAATCTTAGAAACAGAATGGGAGGTAAAATAACTTTCCAAGACTGATGGCACAAATCCAGGGGCAAACATGCAAAGAGGGTAAAGAAATAAACATGAGACAAAAGACGGATTACCGGCCATAATACCCATTAACTTGACAGGTATAAATTTGTACTTGTACACATTTTGACAATCATGAATTTCGAGCACAAAAATTAGGTAGTGAAAGCAACAGAAGCCTGTAAGCTGCTGTAGTATGAACACACCAAAATGCTAGCAGAGTTAGATCCTGTGTGTCCAAACACAGCTCTGGGAAGCTGGTAGATATGAGGAACTGAACTAACAGACATATGAGTGAAGGCAAAAATGAGTTCAGTGGTTACAAAAGCATGATAAATACATGCCTACCATCACTAATTATTTAACATTGTTCTCTAAGTATCACCAATAAATTCAAAAGGAAAGGAATAGGATGTAGACAAACTACAGAAAAGAACCCTGAAGAGAACCTTTTTTACTCACTTAAATTGAATCCACATACAGTAGCAGCACCTGATATTCAACCCACGAGCCTAAAAAATCATATAGTTGAATAATTATTTATTGTCATTTTAAAGAAACTTCCCCAAATTATATGGCTACTTCCATGTTCTTATAAATAATTTTATTCTTTCCACTTCCAAAAGAATTTCTTGATTACTAAGATGTGTGATTCTGTGCCCATTTTAAGTTGGTGATTCATAGGTTAGATTGGTGAGTATAGACGTTTGTCTCTATGTGTGTGAGAGTGTGTGTGTGTGTGTGTGTGTGTGTGTGTGTGTGTGTATGTCTGTGTAAGAAAAAATTTTCTTCTTCACTTCTTACCTAATCTGAGTTACAATTTTTATTTCATAAAATCTTTAGTATTTCTTTTCTTACCATTAATAAAAACTGCATATTAAGAGTTAAATATGTTTATCTTTATGTTCATGGTTATATTTTCTCATGCTAGATTCAACACAATCCCAATCAAAATTTCAGCAAGTTATTTTGCAGATATCAGCAAAGTGATTCTGAAGGTTCTACGAGAACAGGCAAAAGACCCAGAATAGCCAACACAATATTCAAGAAGAAAGTCAGAGGATTACTATTCAACTTCAAGACTTACTATATAAAGTTACAATAATCAAGATAGCATGGTATTGGTGAAAGAAAAGGCAAACAGATCAAATGAACACAACAGACAGCTCAGAAATAGGCCCACATAAATATAGTCAACTGATCTTTGACAAAGAAGCAAAGGCAATTCAATAGAGAAAGGATAGTCCTTTCAACAAATAGGTATAGAACAACTGGACATCCACATTTTTTAAAAGACTCTAAATCTTTCACAAAAATTAACTCAAAGCAGATCATAAGCCTAAATGTAAAATGCAAAACTGTAAAATCCTATAAGATAAAAAGGGAGGAAATCTAGGTGACCTTGGATTTGGCAATGAGATTTTTAGATACAACACAAAAAGTGCAACCCAATAAACACAAAAATGGATATTGGAATTCAAAAAATTTTTTAAAATCTGCTCTGCAAAAAACACCACTAAGAGAATAAGACACTAAGACACAAGACTAGCCAAGCTCGGTGGCTCAGCCTGTAATCCCGCGCCCTTGGGAGGCTGAGGTGAGTCGACTGCCTGAGCCCACAGGTTCGAGACCCACCTGGGCAACTTGGTGAGACCTCATCTCTAC